ATCCTACACACTGGTCCTTTTCAAGATGTGTTTTCCTGTGCTACATTCTGCTAACCCATGTAGTACAATCTTAAATCTTAATCGTATTCTATAGATGAATGGTAGAGGTGCAAATGAAACAAAAAAATTAATCATTTCTGATGTATGAAAAGAACAGTTTTATTAGCATTTTAGTTGGATATAGGTTTGAAATACTTGCCAGGAGTCATGGCTGGCTGACGTTGAAAACACGCCCACGGCTCCCGTCAATCCACCACCAAGTATTTTTAATATTTAAAGTTCTTAATCAAGTGTACTTCCGTTATTGAAAATTTTTGTAATGTATTTTCTGACACTTTTGCTTTCAACTCTCTGCTGTGGCTTTTCTCAGAATCACACTGCAGGGAATGTAGATCCCCTTAGTTAAATGAACCGAGAGCAAATGATTCCTCATTTTGGCTTCCATGAATAATAGAGGGTTCATTTTCTTTCGGATCAAAGTCATGTTTCCTCAGCCCTGTTTGACTTTGAGGTGTTCATGCATCTAACGTGATTGGAATGGTAAAAACAACTCCCCAAAATGACTAATTATGTCATGAGTTGTATTTTGTTGAATGGCTCTTTTTTTGGGTGAATGTGCTCTCAGCGTTGCATAGCAGTTACTGCCATACAGCGCTCTCTTGTACGTCAAGGTCATTCAGCTACAGTGCTCCTTCTCCAACTCTGTCTGCTTGTTTCTGTTTCTCTCTCTGTCCTCCCACAGTTTCTTTCTCTCTCTCTCTCTCTCGGTCTCTTGCTCTATTCATTTGGTTGAATGTCTCTCTCTTTCCCCACCGTTCCTCCCTCTCCGAGAAGGTCTCTGTATAGCGGCGCTCCCTCCTTGTCCCACCTCAGGCCCCCTTCTCTTTCTCCACTCTTTTCTTCAGCTCCACCTCCCCACCCCACCTCCACCCTCTCTGCATTAAACATGTCATTACAGAGTGCAGCTAAAAGCTACCAACAAGCCTTGAATTACAATAAGACTATGGGTGCGTTGCTAAGCAATGGATCAGTCTTGAGAGTGACGGAATTCTGTGTGTGTTTGAGAGGTACTGTAGATGTGTGTGTGTGTGTGTGTGTGTGTGCGTGTGTGTGTGTGCCGTTTGTGCTGGCATGCACATACATCCCTGTTGGGGGTGTTGATTCATTCTTTCCTCGAGCAGAGTGATTGGTCTAATAGCATCAGTCCCTCACGCTAAGGAGAGCTCTAAATAAACAGCAGAGGATTTTTACGCAGAACACAAATAGATGGATGAATGGATGGGTTGATGCACGCAAGCAGGAAGAAGAAGAAGGAGGAGGAGGATAGGCTAATGATAAGAGATGGACGTAGATCGATAGGTTGATAGATGGGAAAGAGAGAGGTATGTCAGGAAGTAAACAAGGGGAAAGAGAGTGTGAGGAGGGAGGACCGGCGATGGAGGAATGGGGAGAAAGAGGGGGCGTGCAGCGCTAATCGCTGGCTTTCTGATGCAGAGAGGATAGCATGTGGGACAGGCTCCCTGTAACCTTGGTAACAGTCTTGAAACCTTTCCTGCGGAGCATGTCAGGGTTTGTTAAAGTCTCTTGTCCCTTTTACGGGCTACACACACATGCACACACTTCTAGAGCAGAACTGAAGGGTTCAGCACACTTGTATAAAACCTCTCTGCTGCTCGGGGACCTTCAGTCAGCGTGGATGGGATGGAGGAGGGATAACGGGAAAGAGTGCAAAGAGGAGATCCTCATGTTTATTCTGGATTGCTTGACTGAGTGTGGCTGCTTCCCTTCTTTCCCTTTTCCTTTTTTTGCTCTCCAACTCTGTCTTTTGCCGTTGGCCCTCCATAGTAAGCAGGATGGGTTTAAGGCAGTGTGTGTGTGTATAGTAAGGCAGTAGTGGCATGTTCACACGTCTCTTGTGGCACTAGACTAATAATTGATAAGAGCTGACACTCAGAGTGAGAGCTGTCACTCAGTTTATGTGTGTGTGTTTGTACAGTATGTGTGCACACGCTCTTTGTGTTCAGGCTGTGGCCCAACATCGTATTTTTAGCTTCTCCTTTCGTTTTGACATGCTGTGTTGTGTCATCATTATATAGCCAGTGTCACCTTGTCTTCTCCCCCTCTCTCCTCTGCTGTCACCCATTTTTTTTCCTCTTCTCACCACATATCTTTCCAGTATTGCTCTTCACCATCCAGCATGCATTCTTTGGAATTTCCCCATTGTGGGACTATTAAAGGAATATCTTATCTCATCTTTCACAGCGTGTGTCCCTTTCTGTAATGTATATTACCTGCGGGATCAGAGATTAAACATTCAAGGAACTTCAGTGATGATTCTACTGAGCATTGTTATCTAATCTTTTTCTCTCCCTCTGTACCTGAACCCGTCATAGATGAGGAGCGAGCGGAGGAGCGTGCTCGCCACCATGAGGACAGACTGCTGGCCAGCCGGCTGGAGCGCGAGCAGGAGAAAGCGCTCAGGTAAAGGGGGTGTGGCTTTATACTTTTAATCCAAAATTAAACGGTTGCCAAACTAAACTGTGGCAAAAAATATGCCCTCAATACACAGTCTACTTCTAAACACGCGGTAATAAATACAAATGTGTCTCGGTTCCTTCCAGAGAGCCCAAAGAGCTGACAGACTTTACTCAGATGCACCCTGCCCCCCTGTCTAGCGGCCTGACACCCAGTATGATGACACCCAGCCTCATGACCCCCAACCTTATGGTGACAGGAGGAGCTGCCCTGGCAGGAGCAGGGAGATGGCCTCCCGACCCCTCAACTCTGACCTCTCACCCCTGGATGCCCAGGCCTGGAGCCCCTCCAGTCTGGCTCTCCAGCTCACCATACAGTATGTAGACAAACACGTGAATGGAGACACTCTCCAACTGCTACAAGCACATGTTTAGATGTTCTTAAAATTCCTTCTTTATATAATGGCTGAAGTCAGGCGAAAAGTGATTTGATGTTCTTTAGAGCTGAAATTATGGCTTGTTTATTCGATCACCAAAAATTAATCCGTACCAATTTTGATAAACAGTTCTCTGTGTGAAGATTCACTGCTTTTCTTTTTTGTATGTGATAATAATCTGAATATCTATGGGTTTTGGACTATTAGATAGATAGAAAAAACAACGTTAAGACATCACCATGAGGTCTGGAAAACTGTGTGTGCCCCATACATACATACATTTTATTAGCTGTAATTTACTGGCAGAGATATTTTCAACACAGAATCCTAAAATCAAGCTTTCTACATTCATGACAAATTGAAAGATTCTGATGTTGGAGATGAATGACCCTCCATGTCTAAATGTGAGCTGCCGCTTCATATGTCCGCTAAGGTAGACTGCCAGATGTGGACCGGTACAGCAGCATGCCACACAAAGCATTAGTTGTACAGCAGTTTTCAGTGTGCCATATGAAGCAGCAGCTCTTGCCCTTTTCAGTGAACATTCATGTTGTACTCTTGTGTCACCAGAGTTATCCAACCTTGTGCTAAAGAGTCTAAATCAGTTCACCACGTGGCATGCTTGCAAAATTCTACATAAGCCTGTGTAGTCTTTTCTGATTGGTGTAGTATAAAAGGGAGGTGTTGTCTGTCTGTCAATTGGTTCGTCCAGCGGCAGCCTCCAGGGGTCAAGTTCCTCAGACATTCCTGATCTTTGCAGGACATTCCTGCTCCTCCAACGCACACTGTCCAGAAATAACGACATCAAGATACTTGCATACTTATGTTAGCTTACACATAACTGTACACACACAACATCTTAGAATATGGAAACACACATGTACAGCACTCCCCAAGGGACCAGCTCTGTCTAGACACAGAGGGCAAAACAACAGTCTCACAAAGAAAGCTAAATTCAGTGTGTGCTCACTGATATAGCTTCTCTATGGCTTCAACATGGGTAGAAATACTGGGTGAAGAATGATCATCAATAAAAGTTAGATTTAACTTAGTTTTTTTGGACTCGCTCAGTCTCAGTCTAACATTTTTCACACTTTTTTTTTATTTTCACCTTATTTCTTTTCCTCCCCTCCCATTCAGGCCTGGGTCCATCCTCACTCCACCAGACCCTCCCCCCAGGCTACCCACCCTCTCTGCAGGGCTCCATGCCCCCTCCCTACCAGTTTGCCAGGGACCCACAGTCTGGACAGCTACTAGTCATCCCCACTGAACACCTGCAACACTACGGTATGAAAGCCCCTCTCTCTCTGTATGTTTCTGTCTGCATGCACATATGAAAATCATAACTAAGTAACTGCATTTTGTTGTTACAGTTTGTTGCATTTTAGCAAAAATAATAATTACCTTGTTAATTTTGAAACAGACGTTGGTATTTGTAATTATGATAAACGAATAAGATCATATCCAACAATATTGATAGCCTCCATATGTTATTGTGGACTGTGTGCCAGTAGTGAGGAGAGTGCTGTGAACATTAAAAATGATTATCCTCTTCTGTGAAAGAAGAGGTGGTACTTCTATAGTTTCTACATTGTAGAGAAATCAGAATAAAAGTAATGGAAAATTTGAAGTTGTAAGGTAAAGGTAATGGGTAACAGTTGAAATCATTTTATATAATCAAATTACTGCAATAGAAGGTGGATGTTGAAGTAGAGATGTCCTGTATTTGTAGTCCACATTTTTAGAAATGAACCAATAACAATGCTGTCAAATATTTCTTTGTTTCTTTACCTTTAACACAACAGTTTATATACAAAAGAATGCTACGTAAACAACATCCAGTTGAAATCGATAGTTCACCGTCTTCCTCATGCCCTCCTCCATTGCTCTGCAGGAGGTGATGTACTGGAGCGTGGAGGCCCGGTGTGGTCAGGTGTATACGGTACAGGCAGCTCGCTGCAGCACGCAGCCCAGCTCCAGCTCCTCTCCCAGCAGCAGATGCTTCGGCAACAGGAGCTACTCATGATCCAGCAGCACACAGCGCAGGTCCTGGAGCTGCAGAGGAACGCACAGCTAGTGGTAAGTGGACTTGTGTTGTTCAGTACACATGTATGAAAGTGCACAAACATGAAACACAACAGTCCTGCAGCTATATGAGACTTCTATGAGAGTGGGCATAATATTAGTGTCCAAACAGGTCTGTAGAGGAGAGCTCAAAGTGAAACAGATAATATTGCATGCAAACAAAAACACACATTATACGACAGCGTGAAGAGTTACTGCAAAACTTAACGGATATAGTGGATTTTCTGTATTTTACCGCAGCAAATCACACAAAAAGATAAAAACCAACAGTGCACCAATATCTCTATACTATCAGACTTCCCTACCCAAACCCACACTGGTCTACTTAACACTTAAATAGTTAAAAATGTGTCACAAATATATTTTTTATTTGAAGGGAAAAAAGGCTCCACTCAGCTGCCCACTGTAGTTTTTAGCAAAAGTTGTTCAAGCATGATTAAATGGTGTATTTGTTTGGGACTACTTTCAGCTGTTGATGTATATACTCATTTGGTGCTCTTGTGCACATGTAAGGCAGCAGGAAAGTGTCTTAAAATAAACCACAGTACACATGTTAATTGTAATAAAGGTCATCCAGTGCAACTGTGTGGCTCACTGATGAGTTTTTAATAGTTTTTAGATTACACTGAAGCTCTATGGCACAGAGGACACAATATGTAACCGGCTTAGTAGGAAATACTAGAAAATTGTTGGTTTTGGTCTTTTCATGACATTTGTTTAATACATGTATAGAGTATATGACGATACATAGAACTCAGAGATGATGTACTCCCGTTGCACATTTTTATAACAAAACACATTCAATAAGCAGCCACGTACACACCACATCCTGCAGCTGCAGTTAAGAATACAGTCAAGGAAGTCTAAACAATACCACCACACACTCCTCCGCTGTGTTTCAGGAGCGTTTAAAGGCCAGTGAGCATCGGCCCGAGATGGAAGAAAAAGCAGACAAGCGGAACGCCGACCCCAAACCCCGCCCCTCCTCTATATCTTCCCCGTCTCCGTCACCCATTCTGCACCCCCGCAAACCTCCCCCTCACTCTCGCTCTCCAACCCCGTCTACCTCCTCCCTCACCCCGCTGCCTCCGCTGCCCTCACCGGTGACCACCCTCAAGTCAGAGGATGGTGGGCAGAGAGTGTTGTCTCACCCACCGACACCCCTGCCTCATCCGCCGTCCCCCAGGTCGGCTTCCCCGCCCCCATCCTCGCCACGGCGGCCTAAACAGGAGGCAGCCGAAGAGGGGGAGGTGGGACGGAGGGAGCAGAGAGCGGGACAGAAGCCAGCCTCTGCACCCTTTCAAGGCATCTACTCTGGTGAGAACAACTGCAAACTAAAAACATCAGCTGCTCACACTCATGCTGACTTAACTCCTGAAGTTAGAGAGACTTATTGTTTACAGATGTAGTGTTTTTGTAACCAAATTATTAATACTTTGAATAATTTCTGTATTTTTGCTTTACTGTTGTGACAGATCTCCCTCCAGGTTACCCTTACCAGTCCATCACTGCCCCATTTGGCTCACCTTTCCCCCCATATCGCATTCCACCACCCACAGGGGCAAACACAGAAGTTGTCCCACCCCGCCGCTCCCATTCTCCTGCCTCTGCTGCCCCTGTGCCCTCAGCCCACCGGCACCTCCTGGAAGCAGACATCAAGCCACAGAAACTAGAGTCGTCAAAGACGGGCTCTTTTCTCAAGCAGGAGCCCGGTTTGGAACAGCCTCAGCATAACACGACGCCAGAACCTCTGGGTCCCCTGCGCCGGAGCTGCAGCCCTGTGTTACCTAGCCAGGACAGAGAGGGAGACAGGGAAACGTCGAAGCCCAAGCCTCAACCACTACCTCTTCATGTCCCCAGCCCTCCACCGCAACAAAGCGAAAGGCTGGAAGAAATCAGGGGGGAAGAGAAGAAAGGAGGGCAAATCAAAATGGAGGTGTCATCCTACTCCTGTCAGGCTGCATATCCCCTGCCTCCTTCACTCACAGAAGCCGAGCCTAAAACGGAGGTCATCAAGGATCCAGAGCGATATTCATCGGTCATCACTGCAGATCCAGACCGACAGGAATCAGCTCAGATGTGTACGTCACTAGAGCAAACCACCAGCGCCGTGTGTGAACAAGAACAACTAGATGCTCCCTCGCTCACTCCCAGTCAGAAAGAAAGTGTCACAGAAACTCCCGTTTATCCTTCTCCCACCTCCAACTCCCCACTACCGCTGGTCATCGGTCCCGAGGATCCCATGGCAGGGATGCTCGCTCTACTCACAGCCAGTGAGATAGTCCAGGCTCGGCCCAGCACCCCACCCGCCCCAACGCTCATACCACAGACAGAAAACCCTCCCGTGGACGCAGACTGCAGCAGCGCTGGTGCTCTGGAGATGGTGGCACTGGAGGGGATGGCCCTGCTTAGCCAAATGGCTCAGCAGGAGATGGAGCACATCAGCCTGGAGAAAGGTGTGTAGATATGAGGGGTTGAGAGGTGGGAAAAGGAGAATAATTAAATTAAATTAAAAAAGAAAAGAATAAACTCTAATGCTAATTCATCCCATTTAGATCTGACATTAGAGGGTCTAGACTGTCTTCTTGAAGCAAGCAGACAGATTTTGTTGGAGGCCATCGAGAAACAATCCCACGTTGATCTGCCCAGAACGCTGGACCCCGACAAGAAGTACAGCTGGAGGCAGAGGAAGGAGGAGCCGGTAAGACGAAGACAAATGTCATGGTCACCCAGGGATAAATAATGGGCCAGTGTGTGAAATGTTATGACACTTCTCTCTGTCCCCTGCAGCTGTACAGTAAAATGTCTGTGGACGTGCTTGATGCAGTGGAAGTGGAATACCGTGTTCGCCTGGCTGAGCTGCAGAAAACGTATAAGGAGAAGCAGAGAGATTTGAGCAAGCTGCAGAGACGCCGAGACAAGCGGTGAGTGTTATTTCACACAGCCACACTGTGAGAACCACATGCAACATGAATTACTCACACTGCTGCTGTTATTATTATACATCGATACACACCTGCAAAACAATGTTCCCACATCTCCGCCCCAGACACAAGCACATGACATATAACTCTTTTATGCATGTGTCAGTGAGCGGCAGCAGCAGGAGGATGAGAGGCGGAGTCTGACCAGACGGGGCAGAGGGCGACCCAGGAAGAGGAAACACTTGACTACACCTCCCAAACTGGACAGCAGGCCTGGAAAGTGAGTGAGATCTCCAGTTTTTGCCAATTTTTTTCATGTTTTTCTGTGTTTGGTTTAATATGCGGATACATACAGTGCAAATATTCTGATGTCTCAGGGTGGGTAGGACAGTGCAATACTCTGAGGACTCTGAAGCTGGGGATGGACAGAGGAAGAGGTTCAGGGTGTCCAGAGAAGACGACGAGACTGAGGCAGGAAGTGGAGGAGTGAAGGTGAAAAAGAAGAAAAAGAAGAAGAGCTGGAATGACCAGGAGCCATCCACCAGTCATGCTCTGGAGGTAGGCCTTTTTGGAAGGACGTGTCTTGATTTTGCCTGCAGTGTTGTGCCATTGTCATTAACAAGGTCTTTCTCTGTTGTTGTCAGGTGTTGAAGGCGAAGCGTGGCCACGTTTGTGAGCAGGAGCAGCTGGCGTCGGACCTCGACAGAGCGCTTTCGCTTTCGCAGCTCAGCTCACTCGGGGCATCTCGCAAACTTGCCTCTAACTCTAAATTGGACAAATCGAAGGCCAAGTCTGGGGATGGTAGGATGAAGGAGCGCAGCATCCACTCATCTGCCAAAGGAGGCAAGCACAAGATGGCTGCCAAGACTTCTGCTTCGGAGACCGTCCGGAAGGTGAAAGGTCAGAAGAAGACTGCTTTGTTCTCTCCCATGAGATCAGAGCTCAGCAGCTGCTCTAACAGTGAGTACCTCGAGACTGGAAATCTGACATAACTGCTTTATATGCACCTAGAGTTACAGGCAGCAGAGTGTGTCTGTTTCTGCATACCATTTACATTCAAAGTGACAAGGCACGCACTATTCTTGGTTTCTCTTGAGTGGGAAAGTTTATGTTAGACGTTGCCAATATTAGTTTGACAAAATAATCTCAACTTAACGTCTACTTACTAGTTTTAAAGTGGACATCACCGATCATTTTGTCAAACTGCGTCTTGTCAACAGATTTCATGAAAAGACCTACAATGATCTGATCCTTCTAACAAGTGCTGTCTGTGTATCAAAAGCCTGAGGTATCTTATTCATCTGTGCCATAGAGCTGCGTCCATAAACTATTAAAAACACATAAGTGAGCTGCACTGAAGCACTGGCTGACATGTTCCTTCAATACTATGACGCACTGTGGTTTATTTTGACTCAGTACCACATACCTCATCCTGTTGCCTTAAACACCCACTAGAGCACCAAATGTGTATTCATCCACCACTGAGAATAGGCGTTCCTAACAAATGCCATTTCCTCCCATTTGCATAATATTTGCTAAAAACTACAAATGGACACTAAAAGGGTAGGGAAGTTGGAAAATATTGAGGGACAGACTAGCACATTGTGGGTTTTGGTCTTTTCATGGGATTTGTTGAAAAACAGTTATGGTAGACTTATTCTTTTAAAAACTGACTCACAGGTTAGTTAAGTGATAAATGTGTTATACCTCAAACTTAACACTTGTTGTATGTATAATAGTTCCTCATCTAACCTGAGGATGAGTCATAGACTAAAAGATGCATGTGACTCATCCTCCTGAAACCAGCGCACTGCACAGATTTGGTGGCATTGAACAACTATTTCATGGTAGTCGTAGAACCCTTGTCAGTGGTCAGTTGTTTAACAGGATCAAACCTGTTTACTGTAGCCAAGTCAATAATAAAAGAATGTATAATATAAATGTAGCTTTTAGTTTGAAGAGATCCCTCTCAGGTTGTGATGCTGAGGTCAAGCAGAACTTTGTTTCATGTATCATTAACGGCACTTTCTCTGCACCAGACTCAGATTCAGAGGAGCACAATTCTGCTCGAGGGGGCTGGCCCCCTCTCTCAGGGACGCGTTCCCATGGCAACTTGACCAGGAAGAGACGGTCCGCATCGTCACCAACATCCCTGCTGTCCAGTCAGAAGTCTCAGAAGAAGAAACACAAGCACTTATCCCTGCTGCTGGAGGAAGCGGGCCTCAGCTCCTCTGACGACTCCTTCGACCAAGGTTACTGACCGAATCTTACAGCCCCTCGCCCCTCGCTGTTGAGTCAGACAAAACAATGTGTCTTTGAGCCTCGTCACAGCTTGTGTCTTTGTTTGCGTTTCGCTAGGGCAGCTGTTTTCAGACTGTGCTTTAGCTCGACCATCCCTACCTCTCTTGCTGCTGGCTTTTCTGCAAAGTTGCCTTTTTTTTTTAAAGAGTTTACTTATTTCTGTGGTGTTTTTATATTGCCTGGATTGCAAACCGTTTTTTGTAGCATTTGTACATTGAAAAATTGTGTGAATTGTGAGATTTTTTCATAAAGTTGTATTGCAGTTTGGTACCTATAAGCTTTATTAAAGGTGTTGATTTGATTGGCACAGAAAGCAAAGAGCTGTGGTCCTTGTGTCTGCTTCATCTGTCTGTCTGTCTCTGTCAGTCTGTCCAGCTGCCACTGCACCTCACACATCCTATAGACTGCTCTGTTCGTCAAATATCCCTTCAGTTCTCCTGGCAAACGTTGGAAAAAACTGTTCAGCAAAATTTGGGAAACTGAAACATTATACGGAGAAGGTTAGTTCAGAGCACGCAGAGCTGAATCTAATAGGTCAGGATGCAAGAAGTTCACCTCCTGGTCAGTTCAAATGGTCATAACATACAGACAAATGTAATCATAGTTGACTCTTTTTCTAATTCTTTAGACTGGAGAAATTTACATCCGACTAAATGTTCATTGATGATGTGGTCTAGTTTTTGGTGATGTGGGGGAAATAAATATATTACTACACGTTGAACTTCTTGATGGCACCAATCATATTAGATGTTGGGGGATATTTGGACAATAGAGCTCCTCCTCTGTGTCTACTAAACCTTCAAATAACCCTTTTCCCTTCCCTTTGCTCTCTCAGACACCTTGCTCTGTCTTCTCACCTTTTTCTCCTCACCTTTGACCCCTTCCCCGCGTCCTACCCATGATGCTTTGAGTGTCTCTCAGCCTGTTCCATGTGCTTGTGCTGCTGCCGCTGCTGCTGCTGCAACATTACAGAAGCTTGGCGAGGACTAGCGCAGCCTTGAGCCTATGCTACCTCGCTACGGCTAGTCTACGCTGCGGCTAAAGCTTTGCTTAAGCATGACTGTGCTAAGGCCAGGCTACGCTACGGCTAGGCTGCGCTCTCGCCACTGCGCTGCCCTGCCCTGCCTGAGGCCACACCCCTGTCACCTGCTGTGTAAGTAGGAAGTGCCCCTCCCTCTATTCTTTATTGACCGCTAACATGGGCTTTGCTGAAATTTAACTACATACGCAGAACATTAACTTTCCCTTTTTTTTTTTTGGTTTGTTTTTATATTTTTATTCTCCTTTATAAATTAATGCTTTTTAATGAGAGCCATGGTTACCCCTGCTCAGCCAACTTCATGTCTCCTGATGGCTTGAAAAAGTTTAAAGGAAGACCTTTGATGCTCCGCCGGGACCGATGTTGTAACCATGGTTACTCAAACCTCATACCAACATTTATACCAAGGGGCCTCACAGGGCTGTCCTCTCAGTGCTTGCCTGTTGTATCGTCTGCTTGCTACAGTTAACACGTCGTGGATTCACAGTGCAACATATATCACCAGATTTTGATCCTAAAATGACAAACAACTTGAGATTAGTTTTTTAATTATTTTTAGAAGTTATCTTTAACCACAACAAAAGTGAACAAATACACTTTATAAATCAGATTAAGCAATATCGTTATAGTTAAAAAGTTACTTAACACCCCCTACAAAAATTGTGTTTTTGCTGACCTCCACTGGTTGAATGTTTCACCTCGCTGTACACCATGACATCACTGTTAGGTTACAGGTGCAACAGCCTTGAAACCACAGAGGGCAGCAAAACACTGCTCTTCAGCCTGGTGTTGAGTTACTTTTTAAATATAAACATTTGTAAACACATTTTATGACAAAAAAAACCCACTAGGTAGTTATATGAGACCTTGTACTGTGCATCCATCCTCGATGTTAACACTCTAACCCCTGAGGAGACGCTCCTCCTGCTCATCTTTTGCCATGGACCTAACCTCTTATAGCAGCAACACACAGCTAACCAGCAGTATGTAACTCTGTGTGTGTGTGTGCGTGTGCGCGCTCAGGCTTGTCAGACTTAGAGGAAGAAGTGTAGTTTTCCCTTCTCTCCCTGTGACATTTTCTTCTTTTTTTTTACAAAATAAATTATATCTGAGTCAGAGTTTCAGCTCACATGGTCTCCGCAGCTGTTATTGTGTGTGTGTCAGTGTGGTAAATCCAAATTTTTCCTGTCTGTATCTTGCTTACGCAGCATTACAGTGGTTTGGACAGTCTATCTCCTCTCTCTCCACTGTTGTCTCTGATCAGCCTACGTGTTAAGATGTGGGATAGTGTGTGTTTGGTGTGTATCTGTGTGTGTATAACTCTGTTCATGTAAGGTTTAGGCTGCTGTATCCTTTCACACAGGGCTTAATTCAGTCTTGTCTTAGTCGCATCTTGATCTCTATGGTAACTTGTGTCCAAAGTCAGTAGAAACAATAGGAAAAGATTTGACCTTTGGCCTAGACACACTGCAGCCACATTCATGTCTGAGCTGAAAATCTTGTCTCTGAAACAGAAACGTCCGAGGAAGACGACGACAACAACGAGGATGAGTCCGATTCGGACGATGATGGCGGCTGTGAGGAAAGCGGGCTGGGTCTGTTGGCCAGGTTCGCAGCGAGCGCGCTCCCTGTCAGCTCCACCCCATTGAGCCTTCTCCATGATGGCAAACACCGCAGCAGGCAAAGCACTTTGGGTAAAAACACAACAGATAGAAATGTGTTTCCTGTGACTGAGCATCATGTCTGAACAAATAAACAGAATGGTTTTTCTTCATTATTGTATTTAAACTAAATGTTCTCTGCTCAAACTGTCCTGCTTTCACTAATTTCACAGGTTCCCCTGAAAGCGTTGCGCACTATAATTGTAATTTTTTGTGGTTGAGCAGGTTCACCGCCTGAGGATTTCTTCAGGATTGTGTTATTGATTTATAGTTAAATATCCAATCATTTCTAATTGTCACATCAGGGTGTGTGTAATGATTCAGTCCTAAATTATGTATTAGTTTGAAATTGATCAATAGTCCTATTCACAGGGTTATTGATTTTAGAGAATCTAACACCTGAGTTTATTACTAGCAGCATGTACAGTGTGTGTGAGACTTTAAGTTTGAGTTTTTACATCATGTGGCCCTCTCCTCTCCTCTGTCAGGGTCGTCAGAGTGCGAGTGGTCTGACTCTGGCTCGGACCTGCGGCTAAGGAAGTTCCCCTCTCTGATGCACGGCAAACGCTCCGCCCCAGAGCTCCCCCTGTTGCCCCCGGCAACCCGTCGCATCGACCAGACCAGCCCTACCAAGAGAGATGAAGCGCTGCCCATGAAACGCAAGCCCTTGCCCAAACCGCGCCCCTCGCCCCGGTCGCCACGGCGATTCAGCTTCGACCTCCCTCCCAGCTCTGGCGTTGGAGGCTTCAGTGAGGACGAGGGCTGGACCCGACGACGCAGCGAGAGGATTTTCCTCCACGATGCAACCACGTCAGCCAGTCAGATGTCTGTGCCAGCCTCTGCTTCCTCCAGTCAGAGCTCTTCCTCCAGCTCAGCCCCACCTCTAACCCCGAAGCCGGCCTCCAGACCCAAACCTGCTCCGCCCAGCAGAGAGGGGAAAGATGTGGTGAAAGTACGTCAATAATTCATCGGGTTGTTATGCACCAACTGACACAAGCCTAAAAAACAAAGACATTCCAGTCTTTATTCTTTCTCCTCCTCTTTGCTCCTCTTCCTTTTCTTTTCTGTTACTGTTTCACTCCTCCCCTCAAACTCTCACATCTCTTTGTCTCCCTTGACACCTCTGTGTGTGAGAGTGTGTGTGTCAGAGTGCCAGCAGGGTTTCCTAGTACTTCAGTCACTGCAGCACTCCCCTGCTGTCTGTGTCGTGTTGCTGACAAGAAAGGACAACTGCAGGCAGCCTGGCAGCATCCCACCCTCAGTGTGTGTGTGTGTGCGCGTGTGCGTGCGTGTGTGTGTGAGAAGATATAAATCTGTCCAGTAGATCCTCAGTGCCGTTATTCATATGCATGTTTTAACTTTTGAAAACCAGAAAAAGAAACTGAAGGACTCTCCTCTGCCTGTGAGCCCGTCCACCCTGTGCAGTCCAATCACAGACAGCCCTGTGCCTCTGAGCCTCAGCCCGTCACGCAAGAGCCAATCAAAAGCCAAGACCAAGGCCAGGGAGGTCAGTGGGATGATGGATCAGCTGCAAAGTCATTATGGATGTGAACTTAATTATCCTGGCAAGGACAAAACCAGAACCTTTTAGTTGTTATACCTAAATGTGCACACACACACTTTACTTTCTTTAACACATTTACATACAATAACAATAAGTCTCAAGAATTTAACTGATAGCTTCTGTTGTAATTAACACTGCTTTGTTCTGTTAGCGAGAGGAAAAAAGTAAACCTCTTGTAGCGTGTGATTTCCGCCAAAGTGTTGTGCATTGCTCTCCATCTGCCAACAGCCAAAACTCGGGTTTGTTTTGGAAACACGAAAGGCAGCTAAAGTGTGTGTGTGTGTGTGCAAAGCTCTTTGCGGTGGAACAGCAGAAGAAAATAGAATATTCAATAGCATAAGTGTTGTAATATGTTGCTGTTTCACTTTGAAAAGTTAATTTGTGGCGTGTCAGCCTGGTTGTTTGGTGGGCTGCCACAAATTAAATAAAGTAGCAGGATCATTTCATCATCAATATCATTTTTACCAATTATCATCTGGGGGTTTTCGAATATAAACTAATACATTTCAGGCAGTTGATCATTTTCCTCTTAATTTCCCTTGGATAATTAGTGCTGTGAAATCAAAGCCCTTCTGTGTGTTTTTGCAGCCTTCCAGGGGAGCGGTGAGCCGGCTAATGGAGAGCATGGCGGCAGACGAAGACTTCGAGCCCAACCAGGACAGCAGCTTCAGCGAAGACGAGCTCCTCCCGCCGCGCAGCAACAGCGTATCAGAGAGGTCCTCCACACCTGGTCAGTGCACAAAGACACATCTAGCACTGCTTCCAGACCTGGGCTACACTGTAAATAATGATGCACTTATTTATGGCATGTGTGTTGTTGTGTTCAGCTCCCGTGCAGTGTGTCCTGGATAAGGATTCTCTGGTGGATGGACTCAGAGTTTTGATCCCGATGGACGACCAGCTACTGTACGCAGGCCACGTGAACACTGTACACTCCCCTGACATGTGAGTGCACACTCGCAGCCATTTAGAGGGTAAAAAGAAGTGATGGTGATTGATTTGCAGCCTTTTAAAAGTGGAAACACACACATCTGTTTGCACTATTAAAAACTGCAAATCAATCAGTGTGCTCCAGTTTTCTTCCCCGCTTCCCTGTTTGCTGTCCTTGATTTGAGAAGTACTTTATTCAGCTGCACATTGCTGGACCATATGCGAGAATCCCCAGACATTTAGACTGTAAGGGAAAATAGTGTTAGCATCTGCAGGTATAAACCACAGTGACCTGTTTGCTTGCTTTGTTGTTTCTTCATATGCTCAACATACTATAGAGAGAGGGATTGAAACTGGTGACTGAATAGTTCATATATATGCAGAAACACTCTCTATACTTTTAAAGAGATAATTTGACATTTTGCTAAATACACTTAGTTGCATTCTTTCTGAGAATTAAATGAAGAGATTGATAACACTAAATATTAGCTTAACTTAGCATTAAGACTGGAAGCAGGTGGGAACAGCTAGCCCAACTTAATTACTGTTTTCTGAGTCTTAGAGGTGCTGGAAGGCAGATTTTGTTTCCTTTGGACAGAGCCAGGCTAGCTGTTTCCCCATGTTTCCAGTCCTTATGCTAAAGCTAGCTAAGCAGCTGCCTGGCATGTAGCGAGTGGTATTCATCTTTTCATCTAACTCTCATCTTAAAAAACATTTCCCAAAATGCAAAACCTGCATACACATAACATGAAAAATAAGCTTTACATTTAGATCTTCATTGGTTGATTCTGAAATCCAGAGTGTTTAATTAAAAGAAAACAAAACAGACTAAAGCCCCCTGTTTCAGATGGGATTAAAGGGGTGGTGGTGTTAGCATTAACATTGTAGCCAGAGCCAAAGTACTCTGATTAGAGTAGTAAGTAAAAACCAACCAAAATCCAAACAACACCATTCCCCAGGATGCTACACATCAGAGCAGTCAGGATCCAGAATAAAGACTGATGCCGTCTCACATTACCTCCTTTGCAGCATACAGCGTGAGTGGTGGAGGGAGAGAGGAAACCGACCACATCATCACCTGTTTGGAACAACTGCTGCAGGAGGCTGTGGGGAAGTATAAACTGGATCATTCACTGTATACAACAATAATGTAGAAATAAGATAATGTAAGTGTGTGTTGCATGCTGAGTATAAAATTCTTCCTCTGTGCAGATCATTGATGAGGAAGCCTCCATCGGTCGCTACCTCCAGAGTGCCACGCACGCTGCATACTGAGCCAGCAAATACGCTGCCTTTACCCCGCACGTTGTAAACGTACAGCGACGCACCAACACACACACACACCCATCATTTATATGATTGTTTCAACAATCCACTTACATGGGACAATTTAATTGTAGCTGGCACAACAAACAAATGTAAAAGATCTTAACAGTGCTGCTCCTCGGTATACAACAACGCATATTACTTTGAAGAGCTGAATGCGTAATAGGAAATAACTGGTTGGCTTCTGTCTTATGAACACTTCAATTCAGTGAGCTTTATTGCAGTGAACAATAGGAATCAGTATTGCTTGAGTGACTTAGCTGTGAGAGTTAAACTAATCAAAGCACGTGTTACAACAAGTGTTAATAATGTATAAAATGTGCCAAAATAAAATGTCCTCTGCTCACTTGTGACTTTTTTTTCCCAAACAGGAAGTTCAGATATTGACGAGAATGACGATCTCATCACGGTGGAGTTTGACGATGGCGACACAGGCCGCATCCCCCTCTCCCACATCAGACTGCTGCCGCCAGACTACAAGATCCACTGTGAGCGCACACACACACACAGCCCGCACACACAAAGTCTGATCGAGGTTCGTGCATCTGGACTGAGTGGATCGCGCTGTTACATCGAATGATCACCCGAACTCTGTGTGTGCGTGTTTGTGTGTGTGTCGCTATAGGACCATGCCTCTTTAGCATTGCATGAATGCTGTGTGTGTATATGTTGATGGTTTTAGTGTTTTTCAAGCAGACTGCTGCTAACTTACATCCATTCCAGTACATCTCTACTCTAAACTAAAGCCTGGTTTGGACTTCATGAGTGTCCACATCAAATATAAAGAAGGAAAATAGGGCTTTCAAAAGGAAGCAAACAACACGGAGCACAAAACAAATGAAAATATTTGTTGAACACGGAACTCAAAACACCTTGTTACACTGTTTTTTGTCTGTGGGCACTTTTGCTTTATAAGGGAGTGCACAATGCAGAGTGCACACACTCAAATACACAGTGTCCAAAATAGCCAGCAATCTTGGCTCCATTTGAGAGGTTGACACTTTACTGGTAACAGACAGCTGTCATGATGAAAGCATGGGAAGCAGGTAGGTTAAATTCTTAAGATAAACCCTAAAGCCTGCTGCCTCTGTGCTTCTGTTCAGGCGCTGAGCCGTCCCCTGCTCTGCTCGTGGCCAGTTGCTCCAGGAGGCGAGTCCGCAAATGCAGCAAAGAGGCCGGTACAAAGCCAGAGGAAACCACTCCTAAGATCAAAGGAAAACCTGGTCGCAAACCCAAACCCAAACCAGGTGAGCTAATCAACCCCCTCCCTCAGGAATAATTAAAGTCCTTGTCAGTTTGTTGTTGCTTCAGTCGTCATTGCTCCACGTACTAACTGTTATCACCAACCCACCAACCTGCTGCTTATACCACTACTAGATAATATTCTCTAATTCTACCTATCTGTAAAATAGTCAGCAGAAACAATGATTTTCATAGGAAGGATTGAAAGTGTCAAATCTGTTACAATTATTAAAGAAAGAAAAGGTAATGTTTCCCATTTGAGGTAAAGAATAATGAAAGGGATGCTTAAAATAAAACCAGTGTGCTGTACATTAAGTACTGCCATCACTTTTGCTTTTATTAGAGATATGCCGCCATTTTTCTTCTTTGAGTAATTCCATGGGACCAGTACAGAACATCTCCTCGCGCACTGGAGCCAAATGTGTCGTCATAAAGAAGAGATGGATCATACATTATTTGGCTCAGTGCTCATCGTGGACGTGCAGTGTGTTTCTCTTAAGAGTGCTTTACCTATACATTTAAGACAGTTGGAAATTTGCTTCGTTCATGTTGATTATTAGGAATAATAATACATGCATTTTGTTGCTGTCCCCATTTCGAAATATTTATCATAGAGAGCATTAAAGGGCTCTTTTTCTTTTTAAAACAACAGAACCAACAAAAATAGCTCAAAGCTCAGACAGAGCTTTCATCAAACATCTCATATTTGAGCATGGCTGTCATCTCTGATGTCAGTTTAATGAATATGCTAGCTCAAACAGCTTCGTTGTTGTTCTGCAAAGCTCAGAGTCTATTACTCTAGCTGTAATATATGGCATGTCACATGTCTGATCTGCTGACGCTGGCCTTGTTTCTACTGGGTAAGCAGTTCTCAAATGCAATGTTTTCGTTTCAAAATTGTTTCCTTGCTGATTTGTCTGCCGTTCTCAGCATGTGAGGCTGCAGACCACAAAAATCATGAAGCCACACAATTTTAGCATGCCATTTACAGCATAGTCTGCCCAGAAAAGCAGCGTTGTTAAAGTTTTTCCTCCTTGGTTTTTTCCAGAGCCCTCCGTGACCCCAGATGGCCGAGAGAAAGCTGATCCTCCATCGTCCTCCAACCAGTCCGCAGAGAGACCCCAGGCTCCAGCCAAGCCTTCCATGGACAGGACTTCCTCTGTCCAGAAGGCAGCTCAGGAGAAGCCCCGGCCTGCATCCCGGCCGACGATGGGAAGTCAGACAAAACCGGCCCGCAAGAGCTCCACCACGTCCCCCGCAAGCAGCCCTACCCTCCCCAACCCGGTGCCCAGGAAGTCCAGCTCAGCCCAGCCTCCTCCTCCTAAACCCTCCCGCCCTCTCCCTCCCTCCCTCTACCCCTCCACTTACGGGAAGGTCCTGACTGTGGATCTGTACAGCGAGCCCAACCTCAGTTCATACAACAGCCAGCGCAGAGAGAGAGAGAATACCAGCAGCAGTCCCACCACCAACAGACCCATGTCCAGACCCAGTATGACAACATCAACTTCTGCATCCAAGCAAAGTGCTTCATCCACGCCCAGACCCACTTCTGCTTCCACACCCAAAACCAAACCCTCCTCTGACCATCACAGCAGCTCCAGAACCAGCCTCAGCACTGGACTCGTACCCTGCCCCATCTCCAGGATGTCAACAGGCAAACCCGGGTCTTCGCTAACTCCCAGATCTTCATCATCTTCATTGTCATCGTCATCGGTCCCCAGACCTAAACTTAAGGTGCCGTCCGACCAGCTGTCCTCCAACTCAAGACCCAGCCCCATCTCCAGACCCAAGACCAGCTCAGGGCAAAGCGAGGTGGGCTCGGTGGTGAGGCGCAAGCCCGTGTCTGCAGAGCCCCTCGTGAAGCTTGACCACGAAGGTGTCACCTCCCCCAAGACCAAGAAGACCAAGGCTCTGATGTTGCTAGAGGGTCGGGGCGTCAGGCGAGATCACACCCCCATCACCACGGCGACAGCCAATCAGAAACCGCTAAAGGCTAAACCGAGACCTCCAGATAGAGAGACTGGCCTACCAGAGAAAGACTCCACCTACAAAGCACCGATGCTGGCTAAGGAGAAGGCAGATTGTCGTGGAAGTGCTGGTAGAGGACAGGAGATGGACACGAGAGAGGAGAAGGGGAAAAAAGAGGAGAGAAAGGAGGTGGAGAAAAGAAAGGAGAGAAAGATGAAAGAGGAATCTCAGAGTAGCAGCAGCTCAGAGTCCGAGGAAGAAGGGGAGAAAGGGAAGGTGAAGAAAAAGAAGAAATGCACCTCAAGCTGCTCTTCCTCCTCATCGTCCTGCTCTGGTTCCTCCTCATCTTCGTCATCATCGTCCTCTTCCTCATCCTCTTCGTCCACTGATGACTCCTCCTGCAGCTCTGATGAAGAGAGGACCCCTACGCCTCCGCCAGGTCCCGTCTCCACGCCTCCAGTACAGGACAAACCGAAAGAAGAAACGAAAGAGGAAGAAGAGGAGGAGGAGGAAGAAGAAGAAGAAGAAGAAGAAGAAAAAGCGGTGAAAAAGGAGGTGGAGGTAAAAGTGGAGGAAGAAGAACTGTCTCCTCCCTCAGAATCTCCATCCCCGTCAACCTCCCCGACTCCTGCGGCTCCTGCTAAACCTGCTAAACCAGCTACCGGGAAGGGCTCCGGGCAAAGGGGTCGTCCTCCAAAACCAAAGCCTAGCGGAGGCGAAGGGAAGGTGGGGAGACCAAAACGGAGAGAGGGGGTCCACCTCCCCACAACCAAGGAGCTGGCTAAACGTCAGAGGCTTCCCAGTGTGGAGAACAGACCCAAAATTTCTGCTTTCCTTCCAGCCAGACAACTTTGGAAGTGGTTTGGGAAACCCACTCAGGTGAGGAGAAAAATCACTCGCTAAAAAAATAATTCACGGTCAAATTATGAGAAAAACTTTCTGTATTTGTCCAAATATTGCTCCTTTTCACTCTGTGTGACCAGCCTGTCCTCTCCTGACCCCTCCCCAGAGACGCGGTATGAAGGGCAAGGCTAAAAAGCTCTTCTATAAAGCTATTGTCCGAGGCCGAGAGATGATCCGCATCGGTGACTGTGCGGTGTTCCTTTCCGCCGGACGGCCTAACCTGCCCTTCATTGGCCGCATCCAGAGCATGTGGGAGTCATGGGGCAGCAACATGGTGGTTAGGGTCAACTGGTTCTATCATCCAGAAGAGACTAACCCCGGAAAGAAACTCACTGACAAGAAGGTAGTCATTTTAAAACCAGTTCTGTGAAGCGATTGATTAAACTGAAACTGCTCCCTAGAGCAGGAGGGCTGCTCTTTGAACAGTGGCTGTCATTGTCAAATGATAAACAGCAATCCCAGAATTTTGTCAGTAAAAAATAATTTTGTTTCTTTTATTATTACATCGGAATTACAGAATGTCTTATTTTGACAGGTATTGAATTTCAGGAAATTCTGTTCATGAAAGGGGAATTATTTAGTGCAATCTCATAACTAATAAAACCCTCCTACAATGTCTTTCCTCATTGCAAAATAAGTGCTACTGTATCATTAAAAAAGTGTTTTAGTGTTTGTAAAGAGACTTCTTTACTCTCCAGAACTGGGATCAGATGTGTGGTCAGTCTTTGCCAGCAGCTCTACACTCTTCCATCCAAAGGAAAGACTTCATGGAGGTGAGAAAATACCAATGTAGTTCAACTCTGAACTTCAGGCTACAAAACCCCCGGTGATTTTATTATAACCATAGTTGTAGTAAAAGCTTATCAGAAAACCCCAAAATATAATGGAATATGTCAACAAATAATGCTATTAGTTACATAATGAAAATAAAATATAAAGCTTTATTCCTTTAGGCGGTTGTGTTTTGGTCTTGCAGCATATTAGTGGCTTACTTGCTTAACTGAAATCCCTGATAGCTAAACACACAGAACACCAGCCTTTCTAGCTCACTTTCTTCATTAAAACCTCTGTCTCTGTCACAGCGCGCCCTCTACCAGTCATCTCACAGCGACGAGAATGACGTGCAGACGGTCAGCCACAAGTGCCTGGTGGTGAGCGTGGAGGAGTATGAGCAGATGACACACACGCGCCGCTACGCCGACAGCGAAGACCTCTACTACCTGGCCGGCACCTACGAGCCCACCACCGGCATGATCTTCAACACAGACGGAGTCCCAGTCATCTGCTAGACGGACGCAGAAACTCGCCGCGAGTTGCTGAAACCAAATGACCCAACTTTGGACCTCACTAAAGGAGTCTAACCCAACCTGAGGTCTTTCCAAGTCTAACCACTGACCTTCATTCATGATGGATCTTTCACAGCCGTGACTCAGTGAACTCAACCGCTCTCTGATACCATGTACACTTCAAATGGACTGTCATGAACAGCTAGTACTACAGAAACGGGAGACACTATAGACAGTATTAAAAGGAAGGAAGTCTCCTGGAACGTTTGCACACACAGACTCCATCAACACATACTGCTCCTCTTGATGTGTTCATGGGAAAGCATCACAACACACATGAGCACTTCGGCCTCCTTTTACATGTAAATACACCCTTCATGAACACATACCTACACTCACACATGCACAGACACATGTAAATACTCACCTCCATGTAATACACACGCAGTTATAATAGAGGAAAATATGAGTGTTTTATTTTCATGTAATAGATTTATGTCAGAGTACTTTTTTCTAAAGAGGTAAACAGTCGAGAAGCTTTAATGAACTGTGAATGATGATATGAGAGAGAGAGAGAGAGAGAGAGAGAGGCCCGTTGCTGTCCGTCCGCCCCCGGCAGACAGACAGACACACACACCGGTGATGTGATGTTGTGATTATGATGTTGCTGTGGTGATGTTACAGTCATGTTACAGTCATATAAATGTATCTACAGAACAGCAGGAGCGACAGATAGACGCAAAGAGAGAACGAGAGAAGTAGATAGTCCTTCCATTGCTGTTCAACAGAAAGCACTTAACAAAAAAAAAAACACTTAAAATCTACCCTCCTTTAATTTAACCCCTTCAATTCCCCTTGACAATCCTAACTCGGGCAGGTGAACTGTCCGTGTGCTACTAAAACTTCTGACTCCCTCAGAGACTCAGGCTTAAAAGAGAGAGGAAGGAATCTTGTACTATCAAAAACCCATTTTTACCTTTGAGTTCCTTATCTTAAAGGAATAAAATCCACCCTGAAAACACTTTAACACTATAAACAAAAACAGCTGCTGTTGATGTATCTTGTATTTCGTTGTTTTGCACTGAGGAGAAATAGATCCTAAAGGAGGCAGAGACTCCAGTTTCTCCACCTGACAGAAGCCTCAGTAGAGAGACCCATCACAGCTACAAGTTGTAGCTGGTGTCTGGGGGATGTTGAAAAGCATTCTGGGAAATGTAGGACACCTGTAAGAAAAATGTGTAAACAAGACTACAACACTTGATCACAAAGTGACTCTATGAATGCACTGAACAAGAGCTGATGTATTGACAGTGTAGGAGTCCCAGAGGGTGGATTTTTCCTTTTTTTAAGGTGTTTTCAGGGTTGTAAACGTTGCAGTCAGTCCAAGATGCATCAAGGTCATGGCGCTGATAGTCAGTATGCAGTTGCCAGCACTGATTAGATCATGAACATAATTCAATTTTAACAGTCATCTTCCACAGTTTGGCTCCGTTCATTTATTTTGGCTGCAGCGTTTTCAACCTCTAAATGTCCTGTGCTAGATGTATTTTAATTTCCCTTTGCTTCAGCTGCTTTATGGACGTTTATCTTAGCCCCATTTGAACACATGCCGCCCCTCCAAGCAATCATCTTTGAAATGAGTGCACTTTGAATACTTGTACGTCTTCCTAGAGTATTTACTAACCCCCTCCCCCCGCTCCGGCTGCCTGTCCTCTGCATGACGCCCCTTACACACAGATACACAAACACACGCCACCACGTCCCTTTTTTACACATTCTTTTTTCGCCTCTCTTAGCTGCTTATGAATTTTTTCTACGTGCCTAGTTTTAACCGTTTTTTAGGGTGAGACTGTTGAATGTCGTGCTCAGGGTTGTGAGCGTTTGGGCGGCCTTTACTCTCCCAGGCCTTATGATGATGATGATGATGATGATGATGATGATGATGATGATGATGATTCGTCAAATCTCACGTTGGTCCCCGCCCCCCTTGAGGAGTAATCAGATTGGTATTTTCCTCAGTCTGCTGACGTTGGGAAACGCCTTTCTTCTTTGTGATTTATAGTTTAAACAACCCTCCGTTCCTGAGCTCTTAACTCACTAAAAGCTACACTATTGTGTATAGAGTTTGTACCAGTGTCTATATACAGTATATAGTATACTGTATATGTAGTATATATCTGTGATTATCATGTTGATTTTCTTGTATGTTTCTTACCACGTTGCCCTTTCTCTGCTTTGCCGCAGAGATTGAAGATTGTCTTGTTGATATTCAATAGGTTTTATATTTTCTACTCTTTTGAGATCTTTTGATTATGTCTGGATTTGTCTGATTTTATTATAGGATATATCTGATTTTTACTCACTCTGAGATGGCTGCAATGCTTCTGGAGGCCGACCCAAGATGTTAATGTTGTTAATGTGACATTTTCCTGACGAAAGGACAAAAGACGTCTGCCAGTATAGCAGCATTTCAGTACATATTAAAAAAAGAAAATCCAGACATGATAGCCGCCCAGTAAATGAAAAAGTTTGATTATGTGCTGCTAGTCTATTAGTATTGAAAGTGGTTGAACCAGGTACAGAGTGACTACATGTGCTGAGGTTACTCGTTTTATTGATGCCAGAAAATCTTATCTGCTTAAAGCCCCACCTGCTCCTCAAGCTGCTGCTTGAAGATCCCTGCCTGAAGCTCGCATTTCTGCGGACAAAAGTTCAAAAGTTTTTGAGTGACAGTCGGCCAGAATGGATCTCCGGCTGGTGTCTCAGCCGTGGGAGTGTGATGGGTACACAGGTCGCACTGGTGTTTGCAGAGTGAATAAGTTAAAGTGCCCGTTATGAATGTTTGTTTACCCCTGGAGCTGCTAAAGCACTTTTTTTTCTGTGTGTGTGTGT